AAAAAAAAAAAAAAAAAAGGCTTTGGAATTACAGTGACTAAAATTATACTATCCAGTGAATTGTTTACAGAGAATTTAAAATAAGAACCATCAAAAATAAAATGAAAATGAAAAAAGAACCATCTTTTACCAGTTGTGTTTAAGAAGTAGTAACTGTAAAAACAGTTGTGTGTGGCCGCAGGTTCTGAGTACTCCATTGCTCAATAGATTCTCATATTTGATCTTCCTGTGGCCTTGTGAGATGACTATTATCACCTCCATCTTATAAATATGGAATCTGAATCTCAGAAGGGTTAAGCGACTCACTAAAAAACCATTGACATCAGTTGCAGTCAAACACAAATCCATGTGCTGGAGTAACATATCATGTAATGTGTTAAGATAAAAAAGATCCTTCTTGTTACACATCACTAGCTTTAAAAGATACTGCTTATTGTGTCTGTGAAATCATTGGAGTCATATCTAAGTGCCCTTCTCTTTTGAGCTAACTTATCCAGGTGCATTGACAATCCCTGAACTTGTGACCACAGAAATATAGGGTGTGAATTATGCAACTAATAGTACAGCATTTTATTTTATAGCAGAGACCTAAATATGGAGATTATCAGATAAGAAATAAGAGGCTTTTAATTAAGCTTAAAAGGATATAATGTATAACAGAGCTACACAGCAAGTCCTACAGATCCTTCCCCGTGTTTAATTCACATGATAGGTAGTCATAGATGGTCAAGATAATCACAGAATTCCTTTTTTTTTTTTTCCTTTGGGAGAGAGAGAGATTTTTGCTATAGGGCACAGGCGCTTGCCAAAAAGACAGAAAAACAGAAAGCAAGAAATCATGGGGGATGGTCACATCACAGTCCTTTCTCTTCCATTCTCCTCTTGGGATCTTGGGTCCACACGCACATGTGCCTGGTGAGAGTTTTAAGCCACTGGTCTAGAATTCAAACCAAGCTCAACTGTATGGGAGTTCAACAATGTAACCAGTACGCCATCTGCTGGTTCCATCACAGAATTTTAATTAAATTCCTTTTTAACAACATAACCCTAAACTAACTTGCCCCTCAATAACTTTAATTTAGATTACGGTGTTAAGCAATTAGTAACTTAATTCTCAACTGTGTGGCCAGGCTTCTTATCAGGGAACCTAAACTAACTTGCCCCTCAATAACTTTAATTTAGATTACGGTGTTAAGCAATTAGTAACTTAATTCTCCCAGCCTACATTCTCAGCTGTGTGGCCAGGCTTCTAATCAGGGAAGGATGAGATAGTGAAAAGATGACTGCCTTGTGATTTGATACTTTAATTCATTGTATGATAGACACTTTGGGAATGATTGGCTCATTTCCTGAGTGTCTGATACCTGAAACATTTTTTTCTCTTCATCACATGTATTTTTCTCATGAATTAGGCTTTGTAAAAGCTTGGAAGTTTTGTTGCTATCACTGCTATCTTCAAATTCTTATGAATATTTTAAATTTTCTGCCATTTCTAAAGCCTATATACAGCTGTTTTTGTCTTTTAGTTCTAGGCACAGACAGGGTGGAGCAGATGACCAAAACTTACAATGACATCGACATGGTTACACACCTCCTGGCAGAGGTAGGAATATACCCTTTATTTCTCTAGTACAGAGAGCTAAACCTTAAGGATCATTTGAAATCTATCAAATTTACACATTAAATGAAAAGTGATGATGTATGTGCTTTGGGTTATTTTATTTAAGGTCGTTATGTTTGGAACAACTATCATACCAACTGGCATTTCAAAGTCAAATAGTTCCTGAGGCTTATTGTAAATTTGTAGAGAGCTGATTAATTGATTTAATGATGCTGGTGGCCTCCCTGTCTAGAAAAGCATTCCTTTTTGTTTTAGGTTTCTGCCATAGGGCACATGGGCTCGCAGGAGAGGAGACGGAGAGGTAGAGAGGGCAAGTGAGAAATCACACATCCCCCCTCCCAGGAGGGATGGCTACACTGCAGTCCCTTTTCCTCCATCCTCTCGGGATTTGGGGCATGCTCACACACACACACACACACACACACACACACACACACACACACACAGAGGCAATTTTATTTTTAATAGTCCCTGTAGGTACTCACTCTGGAACTAAGCTTCCCATTCAAGGAGCAGCTCCATTGCAAATGGAGACCTGCAATATGGAGCATCTCTCCTTTTTACTTTCAGTTTGAGCTATAGTTTGAACTCACTTTGTCCATGACATGGCATTTTTCTTTCTAAGGTTATTTGATTTAACTTCATTTGTTTGTTTGTTTTAATTTGATAAGAGAGGGACAGGGCAAGAGAGAGAGACAGAAAGTGAGAAAGTAAACCGCCAGTCCAGGACTCAAAGCACAGTTGGCTATGTGGGAGTCCAGCACCCTTAACCACCACTCCACCTGCCAGCCCTATGACATGGCATTTTTAATATGTATAGTATACTTCTTCCAATTAGCAGTCACTAATAGTCTCCCCTTATATCTCAGTTTTAGTTTATCTGAAAGATAGAAGCTTTAATTTCTTTATATAGTGATTTTTTAAAAATATAAATAGAACCCATACTCATATATCAGATGCATATATAAGGGGACTTCAAAAAGCTCATGGAAAATGAAATTAAAGTACAAGTTCATTTTTGATGCTAAAATTTAGAAGTCCACATATAGTTTTTTTATAATATGTACTTTCTATGAACTTTTGAAGATTCCCTCATATATTGACCGTTTTTGTTCCTACAGAATTTAATACTCGTCACCACATGCAGATGGGACTCTTAAGGCCTTTTTAAGTATCACTGTCTACCCAGAAAGAGTAACTCTGGATAGAAGGCTGTGGCTTGGTTTCTCAACAGGTCTCTATGCAACTATCACCACCAATGTCTTTTTTTTTTTTTTTCTCCAGGTTTTTGCCATAGGACATGTCCTCACTGGAGAGAGACGGAAAAAGGAAAAGTGAGAAATCACCCCTTTTTCCTATGGATGGCCACTCCGCAGTTCCTTCTCCATTCTCTCAGAATTTGGAACACACATGCACACACCCCCAGCATGATTCTTAAATCTCTGGGTCCAGGACTCAAACTGCAGTCAACCATAGGGGAAATCCAGCCCCTTAACCACCTCCTGGCCCCACCATTCCTCTAAACCAACCCTTCTCCTCTGTACTCTAGGTAGATTGCAGTAGCTTCAAAATTTCTGGGCTTTTATCCCCTAATTTATTTTGTGTTATCATTCTTGTACCATTGGCAACAGAACTCTTACTGTGCTTTCCTTGAAGCTGCTGGCTCTGAGTATATATAAATGTTGCCCTAAAAGGAATTGTTTTTAATATTCTACCTGATCCCCATATCTTAAATATTAAGTTGTCGGGAAAGTCATGACACATTTTTGCATAGAAAAATGCGTCATGACTTTTCTGAAGACCCACTATGTAAATTCTGTATCCTTACCTTGCTTGATAGACAAATGCATTCAACAAATGTTTATTAGGCTTTTACTATGTGCCAGAATTTTCTCCTTCTCCAAAATTGTAAGTTTAACAGTTGGGGTGCTGGTATCTACTAGGATGATCAATAAATTTTGTTAAATTTCAAAAAATGGGGGGCCAGGCGACCAGCAGATGGCATAATGGCTATGTTGCTGGACTCCCATGTAGTCGACCGCAATTTGAGTCCCGGACCCGGTGGGTGGCTTAAACTCATTCCGGGCACATGTGCGTGCATGCCCAATATCCCGAGAGGAGAATGGAGAAAGGATTGCAGTGTGGCCATCTCCCCTGGGGGATGATTTCTTGCTCTCTGTCTCTCTGTCTCTCTCTGTCTTTCTGGCAAGCCCATGCACCCTATAGCAAAAACCTCTCCAAAAAAAAACAATGGAAGGCCAGAATGTGGTGTTGTGTTTAAGGTGATGGACTCCCACATAGCCAACTGCAGTTCAAGTCCTGGAGACTTGAAACACACACTGAGCATGAGTGTGTGCATGCCTAAAATCTTGAGAGGAGAGTGGAGAAGAAGGGATTGTGGTATGGCCATCCACCCCTAGGGGTGGTTTCTTATTTTTCTCTGTCTCTTTGGTGAGTACATGCACCCTATAGTAAAAATCTCTCTGAAAAAAAGAAAAAAATATATTTTTTTAAATGCCGTCTTGGATTTATAACTATTTTCTTTTTATTTTTTAAGGTTTTTGCCATAGGGTGACTGCACTCACCAGAGAGAAACAGTGAGAAGGAAAGTGAGAAATCACCCCCTGGGTAGTGGGGACGACATGCCACAATCCTGTCTCTTCCACTCTCCTTCTGAGATTTTGGACACACGCTCTCAGCATGATTTTCAAGCTGCTAGGTCTTAGACTCAAACCATAGTGTCCCATATGGGAGTCCAGAGCCTTAGCCACCACACTGCCTACTGGTCTTCTGACCAACATTTGTCAAACACTACCCTGTGTGCCCAACCCTGTGTTCATTTGTGGTATCTGGGCATTAAAATGAAACTTGGTGCTTTCTAGGACATTGCTTTTGAGTTTGGCAAAATTTACTGCAAGATTTGTAAGCTGCTGTTTAATTGTGTAATCAGATTAGGTAAAGGTGTACTTGGTGTTTTAACAGAGGGATCGTGATCTGGAGCTAGCAGCTCGAATTGGACAAGCTCTCTTAAAACGGAACCATGTCTTATCTGAACAGAATGAAGCTCTGGAGGAGCAATTGGTACAAGCCTTTGACCAAGTAAGCCTTTGATCAAGTATTTATAGCATGACATAATTAGGTCTTGTGCAATGGGAGACCCTGGAATGAAGGCAGTAGGTAAATAGCCCAGGTACCTGTTGTTGGCAACCACTGAACTTAGAGAAATGAAATGCTGTTGTACAGAAGAACATCCACATGACTTTACCTTAGTCAATTTAATGCCTATATTCATATCTCCAGTACCTGTGGCATCCTGCTTAGATTGTCTAATAGTCTTTGTTTGTGTGTTTGTTTTGTTTATCAGAGGATGTACATTTACCAGAGAGAGGAAAAAAAAAAAAAAAAGCACACCCCAATGAGGCATGGTCACACTCCAGTCCTTCTCCATTTCTCCATCCTTTTGGGATTTTAGGAATGCATGAACTTGTTTCCACCATGTTTTTCAAGCTCCAGGGCCAGCATTCATACTGCAGCCAGCCATCTGGGATCTGGCTCTTAATCACTGAGCTACAGGGCCAGCCCATCCTGCTTAGATTCTAAGACCATCCTCACCCTTTGTATAGATGGTGTGTGATCTTGTCTTACATTTATTTTTTAAAAAGGGATAACCAAATGTGTAGGAATTTTTGTTTAGGACCAAAATAAGAGGAAGAAAGGAAAAAGACATTTTTGAAAATATGTTTACATTTGACCATTGAACACTGTGTTGGGCATGCCAGCACTTACCCCCACAGCCTACACATGTGATCAGAAATCCACATATAACTTTATTTTTCTAAAGAAATTTTTGCTATAGGATGTGTGCGCTCATCAGAGAGACAGAGACAGAAAGTGAGAAATCACCCCTCAAAGGGGATAGCCATGACACAATCCCTTCTCTTCCATTTTCCTCTTGGGATTTTTGGCACACATGCACACATGCCTGGCGTCAGTTTTAAGCCACCAGGTTTGGGACTCGAACCACAGTCAACTACATGGGGGTCCAGCAACATAACCATTACGTCATCTGCTGATCCCCATGTATAATTTTTGAGCTCCCCAAAACTTCACTACTAATAGCCTACTGTTGACCAGAAGCCTTACTGATAATACAGTCAACACAGGGACCAGTAGATGGCATAATGGCTACAGTGATGGACTCCCACATAGTTGACCACAGTTCAAGTCCTGGACCAGGTGGCTTAAAACTCACACTAGACATGTATGCGTGCATGCCTAAAATCCCAAGAGAAAAATGGAAGAAAGGGATTGTGGTGTGGCCATCCCCCTGGTGGTTGATCTTGCTTTCTGTTTCTCTGTCTCTCTGGTGAGTGCATTGTGCCCTATAACAAACAACAACAACAAAAAAACTCTCATAGGAAGAAAAAAACAGTCCACATGTCTTATGTTATATATATTATGTACTGTATTCTTATAATAAAGTAACCTAGAGAAAGAAAATGTCATTAAGAAAATTTAAGGAAGAGAAAGTACATTTTAACAGTATTGAAAAAAAATCCTTATAGACGTACCCCATAGAGTTCAAACCAGTATTGTGGTTTATTATTTTGTAGCAATAAGCATTCATAGTGAGAACTGATGCATTATTAAATGGTTAAATTTCTAGAATTTGTTATTTTTACCTAGTTTCATTTATATTTTATAAATTCATTATAATCAATAACATTTAAGCCTGTAGCTGTAAGTATATATTTTCCAGAACTGAAAACTCCTAAAAAGGCATGCATAGTTCTTGACATATACCACTTAGGTGTGTAAGTCCTTGAGATGAAGTTTTGTAGCAGAGGGCCACTTTGATGTTTTGAAAGTTCTTCTGTTTTGTTTTCAACCGTGAATATATTATTATTATTATATACAGAAGTTTTCCTTCTGTATTCCTATTAGATAGAACATGAAAATTGGCTTTTTTCCCCACCTACCATAGAAAAAAGCTGAATGTCGAGTTTAGCTGCCCTAAAACTATAGTTTTAAGAAGCATCTGAGGTTTATTCAATTTGGCACTTACTACTTTATTCAATAAAATCTAGCAGCTGACTTTATTATTTTATTTTATGACGAAAAATAATTATTCCATGAGTTAGAAACTACATTGCTTATTTACATGCAGTATAACTTCCAATTAGCACATGGAAGTCAAGCTTGCTTTCTTTTTTTAACGTGCAGGTTAATCAGCTACAGCATGAGCTATCCAAGAAAGATGAGTTGCTCCGAATCGTCTCCATTGCTTCTGAAGAGAGTGAAACTGACTCCAGCTGTTCTACACCTCTTCGCTTCAATGAGTCCTTTAGCTTATCTCAAGGTTTGCTGCAGTTGGACATGCTGCAAGAAAAGCTCAAGGAACTGGAAGAAGAGAATATGGCTCTTCGATCCAAGGCATGCTCATTCTAATCTAATGCTCATTTTCTGGTTTAGATCCAGGGAATAGTAAGGTGAAATATGACATAACTATGGATCTGCTTTTGGCATTCCTTTCGGGGTGACAGAAAAACAGTCAACAGTCAATGGAAGGTGTATTTGCCTTCCATTGTTACTTAGGTGTCACTGAAAAGTAGTTAGTAGCAGATTGATGGGTAAAATAGAGAAAGCCCCAGCATAGCATATACATCTTACAGCATTTGCACAGGTAGCTAAAAAAATTATAACTGTGATACAAGTGACGTCAGAAAGTAAGTGGTTCTGTGAGCTTGTATAGTGAGGGTAGTCGAGGAAGTCCTACTTAAGCAAGTGACATGCCTTCTCATCCCTCCTGTAATATACATCAGGAAGAGATAAATATTACAGGAGGGATGATTGGGCATTTGCAAAGGCCCACGAGGAGTGAGGGGGAGTTGTCTGTCATGTCCTTTTCTCTACCTTTATTTTATGGTAGAGAAAGCTTCACAGGATGTTTGGATTTTTTTCTTTTGTAAGTGATCAACTTTAACCATCAAATAAAAATTTAAGGTTTTTATAGTTATCACTGCAAAATCATCAGACAGTATTGTCACATGCTGATTTTTTCTCTTAAAGGCTTGTCACATAAAGACAGAAACTGTTACCTATGAAGAGAAGGAGCAACAACTCGTCAGTGATTGTGTTAAAGAACTTCGTAAGCATTATTGGCATACTCTGTTTTGTAGCCTTTGTACAGTTCCTCGGTAGGATACATCCAACATGGAAATTGGATTAGTGGTTTCAGTGGAAGCAGCTCAAGAAACAATTTAAAGGTTTTTTGGTTTTTATTCATGATAGAGCATATACCTGCAAGAGATGGGTAGTAGGGAAGCACCCTAAGCAGGGTCTGTTCTGGCCACTGTCTCCTCCCTCCAGCCTGTCAGGATCTTGCAGATGGACCCATGCCCACTGCACATCAGATCGACTAAACCCACTGCCAGTCATGTAGCTTCCGGAACTTTAGTACACTGTAACACACTACACACTGGGCCTCAAGAAACAGTTTTAAGTGGACACTGAAAAATCTTAGAACATAGCATTGAGCCCACAAACCTAAGTTAGATACCATAGGGTGTTTTTTTAGGTTTTTGCCATAGGGTGTGTGCAGTCACCAGAGAGAGAGGGATACAGAAACAGAGAGAGGGAAAGTGAAAATCATTCCTCAGGGTGATTTGCCATACCACAAACCCTTCTCTATTATCCTCCAGGTATTTGGGGCATACACACACACACACAGGCCCAGTGTGATTTTCAATCCTCCAGGTCCAGGACCCAAATCATGGTTGGCCATATGGGAATCTAGTGCCTTAATCACCATGCCACTTGCTGGCCCCAGATAACATACATTTTTCAGAAATATGTTGGTTTCAAATTGCGATTATTTCTGAGTACTTGCAAAGATACTCAGAAATAATTCGCTTAGCTCTCCTTTTAGCCTTCTTGTTCTTCATAAAGAATAAAATTGAAGCAAATATTTTCATAAAGAAAAAGATTAAAGCAAAATCTTTAGTCTGCCTTCCTTGACAAGTCATCTCTTTAGCTTTGTTGTCTCCTGTATTCAGTTCCCAGCAATAACATATCTCAGAGGATTTTATGTTTCTCTGTTGGTTTGCCTGTATTTATTTATTTTAAGTTAAAGAAAATTCTGCTTATGATAGTTTAGTGCTTGTTATTAAGTAGGATTTGGCCCATAGGCCCTCGTTTTCCAACCTCTGCCCCACACTTACGTTAATTTTTTTTTTTTGCTTCCAAGGTGAAACAAATGCTCAGATGTCCAGAATGACTGAAGAATTGTCAGGAAAGAGCGATGAGTTGATTCGGTACCAAGAGGAGATATCCTCTCTCTTGTCTCAGATTGTAGATCTTCAGCATAAACTTAAAGAAGTAAGATTGTTCATTCATTCAACAAACGTGTATTAAGCACCAAACTAGAACCATGCACTTCAAGTGCTAGATACTGTCTGCAAAATACACCATCCCTACTCATTTACGATGCCTTTGTTTGATTACTTTTTTAATTTTCTTTATGTCATGTATATTATAAATAACTATAAAGTCACTGTTTCTCTCTGTAAAATGGGGTTAGAGTCTTCTCACAAAGTTGTGGTGTGAATTTCTGACTCATGCTAACCGTCCTCTGAACTCTTAATGGATTTTGTATTCTGCCCATTTAATCAGTCTTATTCGGCTTTTGAAAGGTAAACTTTTTATGGGCTTTAAGACTATGCTCCAGGGACCAGCAGGTGGCATGGTGGTTAAGGCGCTGGACACTCCCACATGGCTAACCACAGTTCAAGTCCCGGACCTGGTGGCTTGCTTTCTCACTTTCCCTCTCTCCCTTTCTCTGTGTCTCTCTCTGGCCAAAGTAAAATAAATGAATGAATAAATCAAATTAAATAAATAATTCTTTAAAAAAAAAAAAAAAAAAAAAAAAAATGCTCAGAGTGAGACTCTTAAGGTGTCTTTTAGTCTGCCTTCCTTGACAAGTCATCTCTTTAGCTTTGTTGTCTCCTGTATTCAGTTCCCAGCAATAACATATCTCAGAGGATTTTATGTTTCTCTGTTGGTTTGCCTGTATTTATTTATTTTAAGTTAAAGAAAATTCTGCTTATGATAGTTTAGTGCTTGTTATTAAGTAGGATTTGGCCCATAGGCCCTCGTTTTCCAACCTCTGCCCCACACTTACGTTAATTTTTTTTTTTTGCTTCCAAGGTGAAACAAATGCTCAGATGTCCAGAATGACTGAAGAATTGTCAGGAAAGAGCGATGAGTTGATTCGGTACCAAGAGGAGATATCCTCTCTCTTGTCTCAGATTGTAGATCTTCAGCATAAACTTAAAGAAGTAAGATTGTTCATTCATTCAACAAACGTGTATTAAGCACCAAACTAGAACCATGCACTTCAAGTGCTAGATACTGTCTGCAAAATACACCATCCCTACTCATTTACGATGCCTTTGTTTGATTACTTTTTTAATTTTCTTTATGTCATGTATATTATAAATAACTATAAAGTCACTGTTTCTCTCTGTAAAATGGGGTTAGAGTCTTCTCACAAAGTTGTGGTGTGAATTTCTGACTCATGCTAACCGTCCTCTGAACTCTTAATGGATTTTGTATTCTGCCCATTTAATCAGTCTTATTCGGCTTTTGAAAGGTAAACTTTTTATGGGCTTTAAGACTATGCTCCAGGGACCAGCAGGTGGCATGGTGGTTAAGGCGCTGGACACTCCCACATGGCTAACCACAGTTCAAGTCCCGGACCTGGTGGCTTGCTTTCTCACTTTCCCTCTCTCCCTTTCTCTGTGTCTCTCTCTGGCCAAAGTAAAATAAATGAATGAATAAATCAAATTAAATAAATAATTCTTTAAAAAAAAAAAAAAAAAAAAAGACATGCTCCAGAGTGAGACTCTTAAGGTGTCTTTAAAAGAAAAAGTGGCTGTCTTTTATATGCAGACGCTTCACATGTCTCTCTTATGTTGTTAGCATGTGATTGAGAAGGAAGAACTAAGACTTCACCTACAAGCTTCCAAAGATGCCCAGCGACAACTGACAATGGAGGTAACAAAAGCTTCTCTTCCCTTGTATAATTTGGGAAAATTTGTTATTTTTACAAACAGCAGCAATGGGCTGGCTCCATGACCTGGTAGTTAAGGCAACCAAATTCTACATATCCAATCAAAGTTCAAATACTGGCTCCAATGGCTTGAAAAATATACTGGGCATATGTGCATGCATGCCTAAAATTCCAACAGGATGGAGAAATGGAGGAAAAGGGATTGCAGCATAACCAGACCCCATTGGGGTGTGCTTTCTCCCTCATCCTCTCTCTGTTTCTCCCTCTATCTGACAAGCACATGTGCCAATTGGCAATAAAATTAATATATATAAGTGAAACTGGTAACATGGCAATATCTTTCTTTTTTTATCTTTTTTTTTTTTTTTTTGCTTTCTTGTGATTTATTATCTTTTATCTCAAATAAAGTCATAGAAAATTGTTTGGCTTAGCTCTCAGCAGCCCACTCCTGAGCTCTGAGGAAGCTTGCCTTCTTCCGGGCTACCCGATCTTTCTTCTGGGTAAGGGACATCTTGGGACGATTCCACCTCTTTCTTTTTAACTTCTTTCTTGGGTTTCTTTTCATAGACTGGGTTCTCTTGTATAGCAATGTGAGCTTTCTTATACATCTCCTCCATCATGTCTGGAGTTACATTGTTCTTTATGTACTGAGAGAACTGTTTCTTGTCGGCGTCTTCATCTTCTTCCATTAGGTAACGCATGTAGTCTACAACGTTCTGGCCCATACTGTGCTTCCGATGGACTTCTGCATTAAATTCCTTGCTTTCAGAATCATAACCAGGAAATCGTTTGGTACTGTGAGGAATAGATAAGCCTCCATCCACCGCTCCCTTCAGGGCCCCAAAAACTTTATTGCCAGTGGTTGTTCTGGCAAGGCCTGCATCCAAATAGCAGGTGAAGGCACCAGGTTGTTCTATATTGTACTCATCTCCGGTCACTTCCACTTGACCTTCATAGATCTTGTCCATGCCAAACCTATTGAGAAGCCTGCGGGCCAGCAGCAAGCCAGTGCTATATGCTGCAGCATAATTTGTCAGGCCAACCTTCACACCGTGTTTTGGTAGTTCGTGTACATAAGCTGCGCAGACTATCATATCCCCTTCTATCCGGGCATAAGCAATCTGACAAATGATATCTCTGTTAGTTACACAAACTATCAGCCTATATTTGGGTGTGTTGTACTTATTTTTATCCTGAATCACCAAGCGTTTCCGAGCATTGTAATCAGTTTTACCCTCTCGTCGTCTTCTAAATTTCACTTGGTGTCTCTTAAAGTAAGCCTTATTCTTGACGACTTTAACAAATCCCATCCTGCAGAACAGTGACCAGCGGCCGCAGCCAACCTGCAGGCCCACAAGCACTATAGGGGAAAAAAAGCGCAATAGCTTTCTTGATTAATAGGGAAATCCTTGACTTTTATAAGATTCCTTGGAAGTATGTGGCTCTTTTACCATTCTACCTTAACTAGTTCAACGGTTTTTTAAAAATAGTAGTTTCTAATAGTATTTTTATAGATATATCAGGATAAATAACAAAATCTCTTATTTTCTATCTATATGAAATTGTGTGTATTAGATTTAACTTAGTGGTTCCTTAGCCTGCACAAGAATCATCTGGGAGAGTGAATTTCAAATGGATGGGATTCCCAGGCACCATCTCAGAAGTTTCTGACTCTGGTTGTTCACAGTGAGGGCCTAGAATCTGCATTTTGTTATTGTTAATTTGCTATAGGGTCGTGCTCTCACCAGAGAGAAAGCGAGACTGTACCTCCAGGGAGCATGGCCATGCTATAGTCTTTTCTCTTCCATTCTCTTCTTTGAATTTGAGCACACATGCATATGCACCCAGTTTTTCAAGCCACCAGTCCAGGACTCAAACCTCACAATCATCCATGTGAGATCCAGCTGCCTGAACCACCATGCTACTGGCTGGCCCTAGAATATGCATTTTTAATAAGCATCTCAAGTCCTAGTGATGCTGAGGAGCACATAATATATTTGGAGAAATTTTTGCAGTCAAAATATACTTTGAGGGATCAGCAGATAGTGTAATGGTTACATTGCTGGACTCCTGTGTGGCCAACTGCAGTTCTGGCCTTGAGTCCTGGGCCCAGTAGCTTGAAACTCACACCAGGCATGTGTGTATGCGTGCCTAAAATCCCAAGAGAAGAATGAATGGGAAGTGATTGGGGCGTGGCTATCCCCCTGAATGGGGGATGATTTCTTACTTTCTGTCTGTTTGTCTCTCTTTGTCTTTCTGGCCAGTGCACACACCGTATAGCAAAACATCTCTCTAAATAAAATATAAATACACACACACATACACACTGAAAATTATGCACTCCTTTACCAGACCTGTGTAATTAGTTATAAAGAAGGTTTTGAAATAAGAGGGAAGAAAAATCATTAATATTCATTATGGATGATTGAATACCTGGCATATATAGTACTTTATAGACTCTTGATCTTGTCACACACTTTGCAGTGATGTTTTTAAAAACAAGATTGATATTATACTGAGCCTATTTGACCATAACTATTATACTTCTCGAAGTTTTTTAGGGTATGAAGCATTAAATATTGACAGTTCTGGTTGTCTCAGCTGTTGTACATTTCAAATTTTCAGGAAGTCACGTTTCTGTGTAATTTTAGACAAGACACACAGAGTTCAGGCAGCTCGAATGATAAATATACTCTCCTTTTTTAGTTTGTCGGATCTTTGTGTTGAAATGATAAGTTAGCCCTCGGGATAAAATTAATACTGCATTGACTGTACTTGTTTGTTTTTCCCATTGTTATTTAGAGAAGATAGTATAATATACTACTTGCTTTTCTTTCAGCTGCATGAATTACAAGACAGGAATATAGAGTGTCTGGGGATGTTACATGAATCCCAAGAAGAAATAAAGGAACTTCGTAGTAGATGTGGCCCCGCTGCTCATCTCTACCTCTCCCAGTCCTACGGAGCTTTTACTGGGGTAAGGAGCCGAAGAAGATGCTATAATGTACTGAGAGACACTTGTTTAAGATTAGATCATCCTGAGAGTGATATGATAGTGTAAAATATCTTGAGGAAAGATCACATGGTTTGTTCCTGGAATCCAGTTATTGATTTATGCCTTAATTGATGTGTCTGTGTCTTCTTTAACACTTACTTATTCTAAGAGTGCACCTTCTATCAATAGATTTCTTTTTTAAACGCAAGATAAACCCTTAGGAAATTAGATTTAAGTCTGTGTATCATAGTTACTCAAACTTGGCCCACCACCTGCCACTTTTCGAGTAGTGCTTTGAACGTCTAAAATCTTTTTCAATAAATCTTGAGGTTCTTGGCAACTCCACTTAGAGTGTAAACCCCATCAGAACAGGAACCGTGTCAGTTTAATTAATAAATGTTATTTTTTGAATTAATAAAAAATACTTCTGAGTTTGTGCCAGAATTTGTCATGTTGGTTCAGTTATCTTAGATAATCTGATTCTTAAACCCTCACTTAGAACCCTGTGAAATTTTTAAAAAGACTGAAACTTAAATTTTAGTAGATTTTCTTAAGAATATGGGGGCAGAATTTTTTGTTTTTTTAACTGGTAATTCTGACATTTTAAACTTAGAATAAAGTTCCAACAGTAGTACATAGATGTCTCCTATATCCTTCCTCTAGATTCCTCTGTTTTTAACATAGTACTATATTTGCCTATCATTCTCTGTTTTTTCCTGGGCCATTTAACAGTATGTTACAGATATACCTTGTTACCCTTGAGTACTTAAGTGTTTATTTACTAAAGCTAAGGACACTTGACACTTTCCTTTGCAACCATCAACATGCACAAGTTGGTATTGATACAGTACTGTCATCTAATCCATAGAACCCGTTCAAATAGTGCCGTTCATGTATCTCTCTCAATCCATATTTATATTTATATAGCTGTATATATTGTAAATCATTAGTTCATACCAGTGCCTTCAATTCTAGTCATCTTCAGCTCAGCCCCGCTGAGCATGTCACTCAGACTAGTTGAATCTTATCATTGACCAGAGGAAGAGGAAGCTTGCATAATTTTGTAATGAATTTTTTTATATTATAAAAGCTACATATGCTTTCTATATATTGTTAAATTGCAGAAAAACAGAAAGAAATTGCTAAATACCATTAGATTGCATTCTTTAAGGAATCACGATTAGCAGTTTCTGATTTTTCACATCATTTATTTTTGTGTCTCTGCACGTGTAATATTTTCTATTTATCATATTATTTTTTCTACTGCATTCTTATAAAAATATGTCATGAGAAAGTGGTTGGATCTTTGTTCAAAAGTTATATTTTCAAAATGCCTCTATTTTTCCCTGGATTTTCACCTATGACACTTTTATTATTATACTGTAAGTATAGGATTGTAGAGACTGCTAAGAAACCTAAAGGCAATAATCAGTTGAGGAATTTCAAACTATCTTCCTTAGGAATCTTTGGCAGCTGAGATTGAGGGGACCATGCGTAAAAAGTTGAGTTTGGATGAGGAATCTTCTCTTTTTAAACAAAAGTAAGTGTTGATCACACGTTGTTATGCAACTGTTAGAATGGAAAATTTAAAAAGCCATAATCCAAAGCGATAAGTATTATGAGATTCCACAGTAAATCTACTTACTATTCATGTTTTCCTCAGTGTCTTCATTTGTGAGAGAGATCTCTTAGCTTTTTTGTTTGTTTTTGTTTTTGTTTTTAATTACACGTGGAATCCAGCCACCTCAGCCATCGTGCATGTGCTGGCCCAAAGTTTAATTTCTAAAGTTTTTTCTAAACTTTAGAGGCTACTCAAGACAACTTTATTTCTACTGAACTGTACATACATGTCTCTCTTCTAAGACACTCTACTGGTTGACAGTGATAGTAATGGACGTTTCCTTTGTTAACAGAGCCCAGCAGAAACGGGTATTTGATACTGTCAAGGTTGCCAATGATACACGGGGTCGCTCTGTCCCATTTCCAGCTCTGCTACCTATCCCAGGCTCTAACCGTTCAAGTGTCATCATGACAGCAAAACCTTTTGAGTCAGGATTACAGCAAACAAAGGACAGAATCCTGAACCAGGGGAGCAGCTCAGAGGAGGTTCAAGGGTAAGAAGCGCAGATCATGGCATTGATTCTGTGTCTCTTGTAGCATTAAAATACCAAATTCACGTCTCAAATTCCAGCATTATTCTATACTTTCCAAGAAGGTTCTAGAACTGTCAGTTTTCATTTGGTTTTGATGCCGTATGTCATTATTTAAGAGGTAGATCATTGATTTCATAAAAGGTTTTAGAGTAAAAGTCTGCATTTAATTAGGTGTATTTAAAATGGAGCTGCATTTAACACTGAAGTTCTCTAGTATTTGTTCTCTAGTGTTACAAAGTTTGAATCTAAATCTTCTTCATGTTTAGAGTCAAATTTGTTTGATTCCATTTGGTCCTTGGCATAAGTGTATTAAATGATAGTTTCTCGTAGTCCCTCCTCATGGTCTCAACTGCATTGGTGCTTATAGGCTAAATAGCAAGTTTGAATACCTTGCAGACAACCAAGTTGTTCTTCATTTTCTATATTTACACTTAGATTTTCCCTCCTCTTTTTATTAAGTCAATTTGAGTTACATATAGCTAGAAGTTAACAACTTTACTATAAAGTCAGCTAAAAGCTTTTGAAAGATAGAGGTATGGCACCTGAGATCTTCCCTAATGCAGCAACCCATCCCAGTGGGTTTTGATTGTGTTGCCTGGGCTGTCATGGGCAGTGTTCGGTCCATCCTGCCCCACTGTGACACAGCTCTCTTAGGAGAACATCTAACACAGACTTGTGCAAAGTCATGCGCCAGAGCTGAGAGCAGACCTGCGCTCTGCTTGCCACTCTTCCTTCGGCATCAGTTGTAAGACAGCATCCCATTTCAAAAATGCTGAAAGTGAAAAATGTGCATCAGAAAACTGAAAATGTAATACTATACAAACCTTGCTTCCGTTTGAACATTCCGGGATATTCATGTGGGGAGTCTATGGCCTACAGCAAATTTTTTCACATTTTGTTATTTTTTTAATTGTTAGGTTTTGCAATGGATGGCATGTCATAGTTCAATGGATAGCATTTTTTTTTCCTGTGTAACACATAAAATAATGGTACCTCTTGCTATTGAAGATATTGTAGAGTCAGTAAGATTTAATAATAATTACTTTTGTGGCCACCTAATTTGAATTTATTGGTGGCCATATCATATTCATAATTAAATGAAATAAGGAAATTAGTAAATACAACATAACAGTAGAGTATTTTTTTGGACTCTCTGAAATCATTTGAAATGATCTATAAAAATTATATAAGGGACAGGTGGTGGTAGATCAATAAAACACTATGCCCTGTGAGTCTGACCCACATGGGAAGGTTGCCATTTGCATCCAGAGACCTCCCTAGGCTTTCTGGGCACATGTGTGTTCATAATTCAGGCTGGTTTTTTGTTTGTTTGTTTTTATTTCTGTTTTGAGAGATTTGTGCTATAGGGCGCTTGCGCTCACCGAAGAAACAGAGAGCTAGAGAATGAGAAATCACACACACACACCCCCCCCGGGGCGGATGGCCATGCCACGATTTCTCCTCCTCCAGTCTCATCTCAGGATTTTGGGCATGCACGCACATGCACCCAGCATGAGTTTCAAGCCTCCTGGCCCAGGACTTGCACAGCAGTTGACTACTTGGGAGTCCAGCAATGTAACCATTACATCTCTGCTGGTCCCATTTTATTTATGTATTTATTTTTAATTTGACCAGAGAGGGACAGAATGAGAGAGAGAGAGAGAGAGGAAGTGAGTAAGCAAGCCACCATGTCCAGGACTTGAATTGCTTTCGGCCATATAGGAGTCCTGCACCTTTAACCACCATGCCACCTGCCGGCCCCAGGCTGGTTGAAGCTGGACATGAATTGTGGCATCAGGACCTTATCAGGTGTGCAGTATTTCTGTTTCTGTCTCTCTCACTCACTCATGGAATAAGTAAATTAAACAAGTGTTTTAAGTTCTGAAAAGCATTTTAAAAAGAGTTGTATAGTATTGTTGGTGATTTTTTGTTACTGTTTTCATATTCTAGAGATCTAAGAAAGTTCTACCTTGTTAAGATTAGTCTCTTGAGTGTGGTTGTAGAAAGGAGAGGCCTGCGTGGTGTGTATAATCCTTAAGTTTGAATCAGTGAGTGTGCTTTTCCCATAGGAACCTTCGGAAGGTTGGACAACCAGGGTCCTCAGGAGAGAGTGACGTGGCAACAGCACTGCATCGCCTAAGTCTGCGTCGACAGAACTATTTGAGTGAGAAGCAATTCTTTGCTGAAGAATGGGAGCGCAGGATCCAGGTTCTGGCTGACCAGAAAGAAGGGATTAGTGGTTGTGGCACCCCCATAGAGAGCGTAGCTTCTCTGTGCACTGACCAGTCAGAGACCACAGACCTCAGCAGTGCCAGCTGCCTTCGAGGTTTTATGCCAGAAAAATTACAAATCGTCAAGCCTCTTGAAGGTAATAAGTCACTAAGCCTCATTTTCAAGCCGTGTGGTCTATTAAGCTTTCCTTCTGCTAGAATTGAGATTTATATTGAAACTGAAAGAGCGCTATGTGCAGAGGATTCCCTTATTCCTCAATCTCACTGTTTGAGTAACAGCACATGACACTGTTTGGGTAACAGCACATGACAGTATTTTGTAGAAAATTAATAAATGAAGAGATCTGCATTCTCTAAATGATCAGCCCTCAGTTCTCTGCTACTAATGTTTTGTTTAAATAAATAAAAGAGGTAATCTTTTCCTATCTTTTGCTAAAGAATATCACTGGCAGCCATTTCCATGGGTGGGAGGAAAAATGGGTGGGAGGGGGATTAGGGAATTGAAAATGATCTAGAGGTAATACTTCATCTATGGCTTCCTTTTCCAAAAAGAATTCTTTACCCAAGAGGAGTCATTGACCTAGAGGTTGTGTGCCTATATTTTTCTTTTCTTCTATTCTGTTGGTTTCAGTTGGGTTTCTGTTCCTTCCTAAAATAGAACTTAAATTTTATGGAGCATTGACAGTTTTCCAATGATTCCCTGACATTATTGTAAAAGAGTACTGCATTAAGTAAAAATTTTCATAGGAAACCTGTAAGGAGCCTTCATACTGAAAGGTTCTGTAACTTTTATCTATTGATCATCGGCATGGCGTTTGGCAGAAGAAATAGCTGCAGTAACGTAATTAGGCACTGCATCTGATGTGAGTGCACGGGACGAGCGTTCTCCAGGGCTCTGCAGATGGGAACCGAGGAGCAAGCGGATCCTGCATTCCATCATTGCCTTCATTGTCTTACTCTCTCAGGAGCCTGGCGAAAGAGTCATGAGCAGAGTGGGGAAGTACCCAAATAAACCACTGAAAATTCAGGGTATCTCCAACCCCAGAAGCCTGGCTCTTGACTTCTGAGTTCACAGGCATAGTTGCAGGTCAGGGAGGTATTGATTTTTATCACCTGGGAAAGAAAATACAGCCCACCCATCTTCTTATCATTATACCTCAGTGTCTTAATTCCTATTAAAGATGTCCTCTTCTTTTTTTCACCCCTTCTTTAAATATCTTTTTTTAAAGTTATCTTTTGAAGCAGATTATTCATACCTTCATTATTTTGTCAGAGAATTTTAATTTGCATGTTGTACCAAAATGTTAAAGCCAAATAAGTAGTTTTGTTACTATCACTGTTGTTATTACACATATCATTTCAGCTTCTGTTCAATATTTAAGGTTTGTGGCCAATGTAAACTTGCCCTTTTTTCTCCCTTGGCTTGTCCTTTCAGGATCACAAACTCTTTATCACTGGCAGCAGCTTGCTCAACCAAACTTGGGCACCATTCTTGATCCACGACCAGGGGTCATTACTAAAGGCTTTACGCAGTTGCCCAAGGATGCTATCTATCACATCTCAGATTTAGAAGAGGATGAAGAGGAAGGAATCAGTTTTCAAGTTCAGCAGCCTCTTCAAGTTGAGCAGGATCCTTCCGTATCCAAGCCGGTAACAGGGCTCTTCCTACCACCCATTACTTCAGCAAGTGGACTAGTTACAGGTAAGAAGAATGCGTGGTTATGGTTCTAGTAATCAGAAGTACTTTGCAGGACCAGCAATTGGCGTAATGGCCACATCGCCGGACTCCATGTAACTTACCACAGTTCGAGTCCCGAACCCGGTGTCTTAAACTTGCCAAGCGCATGTGTGTGTGTGTGCCCGAGATCCCGAGAGGAAAATGGAGGAGAAGGGATTGCAGCATGGCCATCCCCCCTGGGGGTGATTTCTCGCTGTCTCTCTGTCTCTCTCTGTCTTTCTGGTGAGCACACGCACCCTATTGCAATAATCTCTCCAAAAAGAAGTACTTTGCATTCTGAGTTACTCTATGGTTAGTTAGCTGTCTCTGCTCAAATCTCACTAGAGTGTACTCAGTCTTGGATTTGAGATAAGGAAAATTACAGCGTTAGTGAGATTCCTAATTCTCTCCAATTTATCTTAGCTAGGCTGCAAAATAGGTTGAGGGGAGAGAGATCATTTCAGTTAGTCGTTTTTGAACCTTTTGGCTCTTTATACTCATAAAAATCATCGAGAATTACAGAGGATTTATGTATGTGGGTTGTTATATCTATTTATATTTACCATATTAGAAATCAAAACTGAGAAACTAAAAAATATTATTTAACTTGATAAAAAATAATTTGATACATGGCCCCACTCCATATTATAGTAGTAACATGATGCTCTGAGAAGTCCCAAATAGTGACCTTGGTTCAAATTCCTGGCTGGTAGGCCTAAAACCACAATAAGCATGCATGAGTACCCAAGCTTCAAGAGGCTGGATAACTTGAGGAGGAGAATCCTGGTTGAACCAATGCTGTGGAAGGTGTTCATCTCTCACATGTGTGCACACACCTGCTATCAGGAATAAAGTAAATTATAAAACAAACAAAAAATTACTACATATTACATAAATGATATGTTTTATGAAAAGGACTTTTTTAAAGTGAGAAAATGTTTTTTGTTTTACAGTTTTGCACGTCTCTAATTTATGGCTTAAATCTGGATTCTCATTACCCATTTCTATAATCAGTCGATTGCAATATGTTGTGTTGGTTGAAGAATCTGAAGAAAATGTAGCCTTATACAAACAAGTAGTTGAAGAGAGTATTTTAATAATATTTTCAAGTATTTGTGGATACTCTGATGTTACACCAAAACTTGGTGATAATTTCTTGAGCATTTATAGCAATGTGGAATCTGAAACCCTGTCGGTGAACTTTCCATACTTTTTTACATTAAAATGCATTGGTCGATCCAACACTTGAATAATCATTCACCCATATGTGGTTTTACAATATACATCGGTCATTTAGAAAACATTGGTTCAGGGGCTGGCAGGTGGCATGGTGATTAAAGAGCTGGACCCCCACATGGCCCACCATGGTTCGAGTCCCAGACCTGGTATGACTTGCTTTTTCTCTCTCTCTCTGGTCAAATTGAATAATAATAATAAATAAAGTTAAATTATTAATCTTCAAAAAATACTAAAAAAAAAACATTGGTTCACCGACATATGCAGATCTCCCAAGTGTTGATACATTTCAGTATGTAATATATTAAACTCACATAATATTACTGCCTGTCTTACCAGAAAAGTCTTTAAATATTATGAAACTTTTTTCCTTTTAGGTTTTTGCCACAGGGCATATGCATTTGCTGGAAAAAGAGACAGTGAGAAGGAAAGTGAAAAGTCATCCCCCCAAGGGGGATGGCCATACTACTATCCCTTTTCTCCCCCATTCTCCTGGGATTTAGGACACACACACACACACACACACACACACACAGTGATTTTTAGGCTGCCAAGTCTGGACTCAAACTGCAATCAACCATGTGGGAGGGAGCCCAGCACCCAACCACCATGCCACCTACTGGCCCCAGTATTATGCAGCTTTTAAGCTCTCACTGGTAAATGTAAGTTTTCAAAAATTCTAGTTTTCACCTCCGAAAGCTCAAATTTTGTCAATGGAAGTTAACAGTGTCAGCTGTTTTTCTTAAAGAGAGAAGCTCCCTTCACTCATTTTGAAGAAAGTATCTGCGAGTTGGGAACCAGCAGTTAGAGTAATGGCTATGTCACTGGACTCCCACGTAGTCGACTGTAGTTCAAGTCCCGGACCCGGTGGCTTAAACTCACGCCGGGCGCATGTGCATGCATGCCCAAGATCCCGAGAAGAGAATGGAGGAGAAGAGATTGCGGCGTGGCCATCCCTGGGGGGTGATTTCTCGCTTTCTGTCTCTCTGTCTCTCTCTCTGTCTGTCTGGCGAGCACACGCGCCCTACAGCACAAACCTCTTCAAAAAAAAAAAAAAAGAAAGAAAGAATCTGCCAGATACCCAAGTTTCTATAACTAGTTTAATTGTTAGTTGTCCTTTCGATTAAAAATGTTCCATAACAAGAATTTCTACTCAATTGCACAACTTCTTTTCCTTCAAGTAACCATTGTACATGCATCTCAGTACAGTCCGTGCTTAATGCATGCTTCTCACACAATCCCACAGAATGGTAAGAGCCATGAGCCCAGATTCCATAGATCATTTTACTACATTATCAAGCATCCTTAAGTGAAGACGGTTTTAAAAATAAACAAACAAACCAAGTGCATAACAGTGAAAAGTACTAGCATAGGTTGGTGACATTGCCTTGATTTGTGCTAAAGAGCAAGTTTGCTCACCGTTGCTTTTGCACCAGCAGAAGAAATGTCAACCCAGTCAGAAAGAAAAGGGCTCTGTTTAACATTATTGAGAAAACAATTTTGACCTGTGAACTTTCAGAGTCTGTAGACAACACTTTTAGAACATTGGGTCGGATAGTTTGGCTAGATAGTTTGGGTGACTAGGTCTAAATTTTTCATTTTAGTCATTTTTTTTTTTCAAAATACACTTTTTTTCTCATCTCTAAGCTATTTTATGCCTTTGATTTACAGTTTTAAAGTATTAAAGGATTCAGCTATATACTAACCATTTTATACTAATATAATCTTCATGCATTTCATTGTTAGGTTTGGGATTTGGGGGCACACATGGTACATGATAAATGCTGTATTATTAATAAATAATAATGAGCTTTTTACATTATTAACTGAGTCTTTCAATGTTGTGTTTGACTCCCTAAAATCTCTTGTTTCAGTTGCAACCTCGAATCCAGGGAAGTGTCTGTCATTCACAAACTCGACTTTCACCTTCACCACCTGCAGGATATTACATCCCTCTGACATCACTCAGGTTACCCCTAGGTAAGAGAGTTTGGGAAATCTGGGGCTTTGCATCTTCTTTCCTTCTTTTCTTCCTTCCTTTCTTCTTTTTTCTTTCTTTTTCAAGTTTTCCCAGAGGGCATGTGTGCTCAGCCAGAGAGAGACAGCTGGGGTCAGGGGAGGGTAGGGAAGCAGCCCTCATGGGGAATGGTCACACTACAATCCCTGCTCCAGCTCCTTCCTGTTGGGATTTTGAGTACGTATGCACGTGCACCTGGCACGTTCAGGACTCACAGCTGGTCGTGTGGGATACAGCCACCTTAACCACTGTGCCATAGGCTGGTGCCAAAATTTTAATTAATGTTCTGTGATCATTTGTCTTCAAAATATTTTCACACTGTATTTTCTCACTGATTGTTGTAACTGTTTGAAGTAGACAGGGCAAATGAGTATTGCATAAAATGAAGAAACTGAGACATAGAAAGTAGAAATGACTGGTTCAAGGGCAGACAGCTAGTAAATGGTCCAGCTCGGCCTATACCTAGAGTTACTGCACTGCAGGGCATGAGGTGCTAGTCCTCCACACAAGACCACCACAAGTTCAGGGGCTCCCTAAACCACTTTCAGGTTCAATAATTTGCTACAAGGGCTTATGGAAAGCTGTTTTTCTCATGGCTACTATTTATTACAAAAAAAGGACATATGTTAAAATTGTCCAAAGAGGATCAGCAAGGTGGTATGGAAGTTAAGGTGGCTGGATCCCACAGGGCCAACTCTGTGGTTTAAGTCTGGACTCAAGGGCTTGAAAAATCACACCAAGCACATGTGCATACATATGCAAAATCCCAAGAGGAGAATGAAGAAGAGACTGAGGATAGCCATCCCTGCCAGGGAATTTTGTAGGGTTCCATATCTTAAGTTCCCTTTGTCCTTAGGATTCATTATTCTCCTGGCATTGATGAATAACAGTGCACTTGAAATACTGCCAACCTGGGACGTTCACGCAAGCATAGTGTCCAGAGTTTTTAATTGAGGCTTCATTGTGTAAGATTGATTGGTTACTCACGCACAAATTCAGCCTCAAAGTCAACTGGTATCATGCGACACAAAGCCCTCATCCTAAATAAATCACATGGTTAGTCTCTGCCATCGCCAGTCCTCACCCTAAGATACGGTAGGTCCAGACCTACTCTAAGATCCAGTGTGACCAGTCCCTACTCTATCTGGAGATACGCCAATCAGCGATGGCATAGATGGCCTTTCAGAAGCTGAGGGCAAAGACCAAGACTCTTAGACAAAACCTAATTATTTACTACCCACACCGGAACATGAATATTCTTGGTCCCTTATTAAGCCACATCAATGATGTTTCTATCCTGCCAATTCCCAAAAGGATCTAGGGTGTCTTTCAAAGATATGTAAAACATTGTTAGCTAGAAGTAGAGAAGAAAAATGATGCAAAGGGGTCTCAAGAGTAAGAGAGAAAAATGAGTAGAGGAAACAACTGGTGTATAAGTTATAGCATAAAGTCTCATATACTTGCTAAGATGAGCCTTGTGTGTAAATCTTAACTTTCTAGTTGCCAGTGTAGCGGGAAGTAAAATTATGATTCACAACTTCCGTAAGATAGAAGCAAAACAATTATTTATGAAAATGCTTAAATGACACCCAATGAGGATCGCCATAAAGACAGTAATGAATAAGCATGTTTGCAATTTTTCTACATTGTTCTTATGATAAGTTTCATAAAATAGGTTCTTGAAAGGACTCTTTAAGACTGTCGATACCATCAAATGAAGTATACAGCTTGGGAAAGGACAGGCACTTCTGCAGTAAGTAGGGTGGGGAGAACAGGGACTTGGAGGACATAGCTTGTACCAGCTCAGAGCTGCTCAGTTGGACTGGTTTGACCAAGGAGTCAAACTTGTTTGAATTTTTTTTTCTTTTCTGTAAATTGATGCCCTAGGAAGGGTATTTATTAATCTTAAGTTCATAAGCTTAGGTTATGAATTTTGTTTATAATCTTTCAAAATTTTTTTATATCTTGATATACCAAGTATTTTATGTTGAAGTAGAAGTTAGTTGATTAAGGGACCAGCAGGTGGCGTGGTGGTTAAGGCACTGGACATTCTCACATGGCTGACCATCGTTCAAGTCCTGGACCTAGTGGCTCGCCTTCTCATTTTCTCTCTCTCTCTGTGTCTCTCTCTGGTCAAAATAAAATAAGTACATGAATAAAGAAAATTAAAAATACATCATTCTTTTAAAAAAACGTTAGTTGATTAAATACAGGTAACATTTGTTCAGTGGGGAAAGTTGACTAAAAAAGTACCCTCTCTGTCCTATCACTATTTCCTTAGGACATGATTTCTCGTTTACATTTTCTTTTGACTTAGCTTAGAAGAAGAAAGATTGCAATAGCTATCAAAACTTTTCATTATTTTTAATTTCTTAAACACACGTGCTTCCAGTAGAGGTTGAGAAAAATTTGCTCCTTGGTTGTCCTTATACTACTGTTGTTCAGAATTAGCATTTCCCCCGAAATGGAAATTTAACATGTAGAAGTTTGTTATTCCTCAGTGATGTAAAATTGAAGAATTCAAAAGAAAGAAATTTCTTCTGAGAAGAACATTTTAGGTTTAATTAAGAAGGCTGTATTTTTGGGACCAGCAGGTGGCATAGTGGTTAAAGGTACTGGACTCCCATATGGCCAACCATTGTTCAAGTCCTGGACCTGGTGGCTTCCTTTCTCACTTCCCTCTCGAGAGAAAGAGAGAGAAAGTGAGAGAGAAAGTGAGAAATCACCCACCAGTGGAGATGGCCACACCACAATTCCTTTTCCTCCGTTCTCCTCCTTGGACCTTGAACACACATGCACATGCACCCCAAGTGATTTTTAAGCAATGGGTCTGGGACTTGAACTGTAGTTGGCCACATCGAAGTTCAGTGACGTAACCACTATACCTTCCGCTGGCCCCGATTATTTTTTCCCCCAGAGATTCTTGCTTTCTGTTATGTGTG